ACATCTTAGTTCTGTCTCAGTTGAGGTAAAAGCCAAACAGTAAATTAATGAATAAGTTAACATGTATAAAAAGCGCATTATATTCTGTGAGAACAGACTTCAGTAACATGAAAACAACCATAGTTATTTCAGATGCTATTATTTACTTTTTAGTGCCACAAATAAAGATAGCAACAGATGAAACAGTAAAATCAGATTAAATATAGACTTGCTGCTGACCTTAGGGAAGCCGTGAATCAAAAGTTCCTACGAATCTATATACTCCTTATTAGGTCTTTCAGTTTTGAAACTGGTGAAGGATGGCTATATGTGTTTTTGCAAACACAATTTCCTGTTTCTGCTATCCTGTTTACCAGCTGCACTAAATAAATAAGAAATGAGAGGGCGATTTTTCTCAGCAGCAAAACCAAGCTGTGAGACTTGCATAAATGCTCGGTGAAAGCACAGTCATAGGTCAGCGAGTGGTTCCATTCTGCAAGTCGTCATACACACAACCAAAACAAAGGTGCCTGGGAAAATAAACACATAATGACTGACCTCTTGCTGCTGGAAGACGTCTGTGTATTTGCCCAGGCCCAGTTTGCTGAAGAGCTCAGGGAGGTCAGAGCCTTTGAAAGAGCTGTTCAGGTTACAGCCATTGCTTCCTGTCAGCGAGGAAATGCAGTCCATGTAATTGCTGCTGCTCAGATAGTGTTCCGCTGAAAGGCAAAGGAGAGGCAGGCTTGAAGCACAAATGCCCAGAGAGAACGTGGTTTAATTAAAAGTTTTAATCACTCAAATATTCCAGAGTCATTGTTTTGGGCTGAATAGAGCAGTAGCTGCAGCAATACAGCCATCCTTTACTGAAGCATTGGCTTTTCATTAAGGAAATGCTGGTTATTGCTTTCAGGGAGGCTCTTGCCATTTAAAAGGTTACACTTGGGAGGCAGCAATTCACCAACAGTGCCTCTGTAGTTCATAATCATTCATCATATTCTCCCCAAGCATTCTGAAACATTTGCTCTTTCTAATTGATTTGATGTGAATTAAATGAGGAACTGGAAGGAGGACCCCTAGGGCACAGTGAAGGTATGGAAAATTACAGGAAGTCCAGGCTCCTTTTGGATGCAGGATGGCCCTCCGTAGCCATCTACAGAATCAAGCAGAACTGTGCAGCCATTCCTACCTGACCGACAACCGACTGTCACCACTGTGGGGATTCTATCCTCTTACACCAGACGCAGCTTCAGGAGGGATTCCCAGACTGATGGGGACAGAAGACACTCACCAAGCTAATCAGATCCATCTACTCTCCTCTGGGATCAGTGCATTCACCAAATCTAAGAATCTTGTTCTCTGCACTGCACCAGGTGCCACTAATTACTTTCTGTCATTGTTTTCATCTCCCATTTGAGAGTCCTATGTATATCTCAGGTGGAAGAATTTTCTTGATAAGGTTTCTCTTTTAAAAATAGATGTTTCATCTCTTGTGGGAAGAATGTGTAGAGAAAAGGATCCAGGACCAAGCCCTGAGGCCCTGAGCCCTGGAACATTCCACCAATCGAAGGTAAGGCCCCAAAGTCACCAAAACAGACCGAGGAGGAATGAATGACCAGTGAGGTCCTGGTTCAAGTGTGACACGCACTGGAGTGGCCACTGACTTGACAACATGGACTTCACTGGCAGGCTGACCACATAGTTTACTGTCCAAATGATAGGTTACTTTGAGAAAAAAAAAAAAGACAGAGTTACTGAGAATTATAGTGGGACACCTGATGAAACAGGGATGCCCAGAGAAAACCTAGACATTGGTAAAGGTGTCAGGAAAGATTATCTAAAACTTTGTTGTTCAATACAGTAGCCACTGGCCATATGTGGCTTTTGAGCACTTGAAATGTGCCAGTGGTAATTAAATTGTTTCCGTAAGTGTAAAATACAACACACCATATTTTAAAGACTTACCACAAAAAATAAAGTATATGTCTTTACATTGATTACATGTTTAAATGATAATATTTTACATATATTGGGTGAAGCAAGTACATCAGTAAAAGCTGAAAAAATGTTTTAAAATATTCTTATTTGACAAATATTTATAGTGATACACCATTTTTTTTACATTTCTTTTTATCTTAACTACTTACAGTGTCTATAGTCTTTTTTAAATCCGCTAGGCTCTTAAAACATCTGACAAAAGCCAAAGAACAGTTCTTCTTTAATCAATCTTTTATCTTAACCCCAATTCTGAACTTCAGTGCAGCTAAGTTGCATAGTCAATTTTAATTATCCGTTGTTAAGTGAAGGGAAAGGAGATAAAGAGAGGAGAGAGGCACAGAGCTAATTTATGTTGGAATGTGAAATGGAGATCATTTCACCCTGAGATCTGCCGCTGGCACCAGCCAGCCTCTTAGCTCCATCCCCTGTGGGCGATGGAGGACCTAGCCCAGGACTCAAGGAGGCCTCTAGTTACCACCGACAGCATACTTGGGAATGAAAGAGTTGACCATGCTTTCTTATTCAGACTTGGCCGACACCACGACTGGCCTTTTCCAATCTGAGACTCTTGATTGATGGTAACAACTGGCTGTTAGTGTTTACTGTGCTCGTTTAGATGGCCTTTCTTCAAGTATTCTTCAAATACTCCAAGCTATATGTTTCAGGCTTTCAAAATTGCCAGAAACCCTTAAAAAAAAAAAGGCATTGGAGCATACCTGGTGATTACTGTGTCAATCCATGTCTGTTTATGGAGACTTATGGGTGCTGTTACAGACACGACCACGAGACTCATGCTCAGTCTTAGTATTTGTTCAAAGCCTATGCTTTAAACTTTTTCTCCTGTTGATGTCATTTAGCTACATCCTGTCAGTTTGAAAAATCCTGTTCTTCACCTTTGGTAGCTGGGAAGACTTTCTTCTATTGTCCAAGATACTAATTTGACCACATTCTGTTCAACTTCTTTACATCCCTGCCTTTTCCTAATAATTCTGATCTTCATGTGTGCACGACTCATTCACACATTCATTCCACAAACATTTACTGAGCAACTATGAGCTGTCAGACCCCATTAGACATCTGGGAGGAAAAAACAAATTAAGAAATAAGGTACAGCCTACTATTAGTGGCATTATAAATTAGAGCAGACACTATGGAAGACAGTATGGAGGCTCCTCAAAGAATTAAAAATAGAACTGGCATTTCCAGCAATTTCACTTCTGGGTATTTATCCAAAGAAAACAGAAACACTAATTCAAAAGACTATATGCACCGCTATGTTTACTGCAGCATTATTTGCAATAGTTAAGATACGGCAGCAACTTAAGTGTCCATCAACAGACAACTGGATTCAAGAAAAGGTGCTCTGTGTGCGCCTGTGTATACACATACATACATACAATGGATTACTCAGTCATAAAAGAAAATAAAATCTTGCCATTTGCAATAACATAGATGATCTAGAGGGTATCTCATTAAGTGAAATAAGTCAGAGAAAGACAAATACTATGTGAGCTCACTTAAATGAGAAATCCAAAAACACAAAACAAAACTAAGTGAAAACAGACTCGTGTAAATACAGAGAACAAAGGGGTGGTTGCCAGAGGGGAGGTGGGGGCGGTGAAACAGATGAAGGTGATTAAGAGGTACAAACCTCCAGTTATAAGTAAACCACAGGGATGTAATATATAGCACAAGGAATATGGTTAGTAATACTGTAATAACTGTATAGGAATAAATGATTTCTAGACTGATGGTAGCAATCATTTCATAATGCCTGCAAATGTCAAATCACTATCAGAACACCTGAAACTAACATAATATTGTATGTCAACTATATTTCAATAAAAAAAATAAGGCAGAAAGAATGGTTGGCTCATGGACACTAAATAAGTGCTTACAGATTGAATACAGTCCCTGGCTCGTGGAGCTCAAATTCTACAGAGAGAGAGAGATATGTAAGTAATTGTGCTTCAATACGACAAATGTGAGAGTGAAAGCATATACAAAATGCAGTGAAAGCAGAGAACCACGTGGCCTGCTTCCCTGGAAAAACAGGGAAGGCTTCTCAGAGGCTTCTGTGAGTAATCCGAAACACTTGAAGGCATGGAGTCCAGAGTTTATACTTGAGCATCACCCTAAACCAAATAAACAAATTCCAAGCTGGTTACATCTAAAAGTATGACTAAAAGTCAAAGCTCACTTGATTTGTTCTGTTTGCGCTTGGGGCTGCCAATAGAAGCTGCAAATTCACTATGACTGGTGGGTCCTATTCCATTTCTGTCTCTCCAGTTATCAGATTCGCTTCCACTTCCCAGGTGCTCACGACTGTTGGACCTCGAGAGGGACATCGATGAGCCCTGCAAACAATCAAAGCCA